AGCCGGGGGAGGGGGACAGGGACAGGGGACATGGGGACAGCGACAGGGACAGGGGACATGGGGACAGAGGGGACATGGGGACAGGGGGACATGGGGACAGCTGGGGACAGGGGACATGGGGACAGGGACAGAGGGGACATGGGGACAGGGACAGGGACAGGGGACATGGGGACAGGGGACAGCAGCTCTCGCTGCTCGGGGCTCTGCGAGCCTGGGGACAGAGGGGACAGAGGGGACATGGGGACATGGGGAGAGGGACAGGGGACATGGGGACAGGGACAGGGACAGGGGGACATGGGGACAGGGACAGAGGGGACAGGGGACATGGGGACACGGGGACAGGGGGACATGGGGACAGCAGCTCCCGCTGCTTGGGGCTCTGCGAGCCTGGGGACAGGGACAGGGACAGAGGGGACATGGGGACAGGGACATGGGGACACGGGGACAGAGGGGACAGATGGGGACATGGGGACACAAGGACAGCAGGGACAGCCGACCCCAAACCCGGGACCCCAAACCCACCCTGGGGACCCCAAATCCTTCAGAGAGACCCCCAAGGAACCCAAACCCCCCAACCCCCTCCAGGGCCCCCCGTGAGACCCCCGGCACGCACTGAGGATGAAGGGCTGCACGGAGCCTTCGTCGTCCCCCGAGTCTGGCACTGGCGGCTGCGGGACGGGGACACGGGGACACGGGGGTCACTGCAGGGACACCTCTCCCGTCCCCACCTGCACGAGGGTGACGCTGGCCCCGGGGTCGCGGGCGATGCGCTGCAGCCCCAGGCGCGCCGCTGCCAGCCCGGGGGGCAGCCGGGGGGGCAGCGGGTGGGGGTCCAGGTGCTGCAGGCGCGGCAGCCAGAACTGCATCCGCTGCAGCTTCCGCACGGGGCGGCTGCGCGGCCCGAACACCCCCAGCAGCAGGAAACGCGTCTCGGCGTCCGGCATCACGCCTGGGGACACAGGGACATGTTAGGGACATGGGGACAGGGGACACGTTAGGGACATGGGGACAGGGACACGTTAGGGACATTGGGGACAGCAGGGACATGGGGACAGCAGGGACATTGGGACACTGGGGACAGCAGGGACATGGGGACATGGGGGACAGCAGGGACATCGGGGACAGCAGGGACATTGGGGTGACAACAGGTCCCTGTCCCCTGTCCCCCAGCCCTGTCCCCTGTGTCCCCCGTGTCCCCCAGCCCTGTCCCTGTCCCTGTCCCCCAGCCCTGTCCCTGTCCTGGTCCCTCTCCCGTCCCCACCTGCACGAGGGTGACGCTGGCCCCGGGGTCGCGGGCGATGCGCTGCAGCCCCAGGCGCGCCGCTGCCAGCCCGGGGGGCAGCCGGGGGGGCAGCGGGTGGGGGTCCAGGTGCTGCAGGCGCGGCAGCCAGAACTGCATCCGCTGCAGCTTCCGCACGGGGCGGCTGCGCGGCCCGAACACCCCCAGCAGCAGGAAACGCGTCTCGGCGTCCGGCATCACGCCTGGGGACACAGGGACATGTTAGGGACATGGGGACAGGGGACACGTTAGGGACATGGGGACAGCAGGGACATGGGGACATGGGGGACAGCAGGGACATCGGGGACAGCAGGGACATTGGGGACAGCAGGGACATTGGGACACTGGGGACAGCAGGGACATGGGGACAGCAGGGACATTGGGCACAGTAGGGACATGGGGACAGTAGGGACACATTGGGGTGACAGCAGGGACATGGGGACAGCAGGGACATTGGGGGGACAGCAGGGACACATTGGGGTGACAGCAGGGACATGGGGACAGCAGGGACATTGAGGCATTGGGGACAGCAGGGACAGCAGGGACATCGGGGACAGCAGGGACATTGGGGTGACAACAGGGACATTGAGGCATTGGGGACACATTTGGGACAGTGGGGACATTGGGGTGACTGCAGGGACATTGGGGATATCGGGGACATTGGGGACATTGAAGGGACAGGTGACACAGCGAGGCACCAAGGGACATAGGAGGCCACGGGATGGGCACGAGGGGACACCAGTGGACATGGAGGGACACCTGGGGACACGACCTGAGGGACACCTGGGGACACCAAGCAGGGCACACCCAGCAGCACAGGTGGCCGGGGTGTCCCAAGTGTCCCCACGCAGGGCCATCCCCGTGTCCCCAAGCAAAGCCATCCCACGTCCCCAGGCAGGGCTGTCCCCTGCCCCAGCAGTCCTGTGTCCCCAGAGTTCCCTGTCCCCAGCAGTCCTGGCTGTCCCTGTGTCACCAGCAGTCCCGTGCCCGGTGTCCCCAGGCAAGGCTGTGCCTGTCCTGATGTCCCCAGCAGTCCCACGCCCGGTGTCCCCACGTCCTGGCTGTCCCTGTCCTGGTGTCCCCAGCAGTCCCCTGTCCCCAGCAGCCCCGTGTCCCCTGTACGTGTCCAGTGTCCCCAGCAGCCCCGTGTCCCCTGTCCGTGTCCCTGTGTCCCCTGTCCATGTCCCCATGTCCCCAGCAGCCCCGTGTCCCCTGTCCGTGTCCCGTGTCCCCTGTGTCCCCTGTCCATGTCCCGTGTCCCCTGTCCGTGTCCCCGTGTCCCCTGTCCCGGTGTCCCCTGTCCGTGTCCCTGTGTCCCCAGCAGTCCCGGCTGTCCCGTGTCCCCAGCAGCCTTGTGTCCCCTGTCCCCTGTCCGTGTCCCCATGTCCCCAGCAGCCCTGTGTCCCCTGTCCGTGTCCCGTGTCCCCTGTCCGTGTCCCCTGTCTGTGTCCCCGTGTCCCCTGTCCGTGTCCCGTGTCCCCGTGTCCCCTGTCCGTGTCCCATCTCCCCCCTGTCCCCGTGTCCCCCGCCGTCCCCTCTGTCCCCGCTGTCCCCCGCACCTCGGGCGCTCCGGGGCCGCCCCAGAGGCGCCGGGGCAGGGCGCGGACCCAGCCCAGCCGCATGTCGCGGGTGTCGCCGCTGTCGCCGCTGTCGCTCACGGCCGGGCCCCGCTGTCCCCAGGCCGGGTCGCGCCGCTGGGCGCCGCCATCTTGGCTCCGACCCCGCGCTCCCGGGTCAGGGGGCGGGGCCTGCCGAGCGCAGCCAATCGCCGCGCGGCGTTTCCCGGCGGGCGCGGTGATTGGCCAGGCGGCGAGGGGCGGGGCTCGGAGGGGGTTCCCCCGTGACGTCAGAGCGGCGCCCCGGGATGAGCTCGGGGGACGGGGATAGGCGGTGACGTCACGGGGGGGGGGCCGGGGCGGGCCCGGGGGGGGGGGTCCGGGCACCCCCGGCCGGGCCGGGTCCCTCCGCCCCTCGGGGAACGGGGAAACGGAGCCACCGGGGATCGCTGTCACCGCGCGGGGCCGCGGGCTCCCTCAGGGTGTCCCCAAAGTGTCCCCTCGGTGGCGGGGATGTGTCCCCCCGCGTGTGGCCCCGCTTCTCCCTGACAGGACCCGCGGTGTCCCCAGACCGTCCCTGTCCCCCTCACATTGTCCCCAAACCCTCCGTGTCCCCAGACCGTCCCTGTCCCCCCCACGCTGTCCCCGTGTCCCCTCGTCTCCGCGAGGGTGTCCCCCACATTCTCCGTGCCACCACATCCCCCTGGCACTGTCCCCATGCTCCCCGTGTCCCCCTGGCGCTGTCCCCCAGCCCCTGGCCGTGTCCCCGTGCTCCCTCTGTCCCCCTGGATGTGTCCCCGTGTCCCCTGGCGCTGTCCCCGTGTCCCCCCGGCCGTGGCCCCGTGCTCCCCCAGCCCCTGGCGCTGTCCCCACATCTCCACGTCCCGTGTCCCCGTGTCCCCCTGGTGCTGTCCCCCAGCCCCTGGCGGTGTCCCCATGTCCCCCCATCACTGTCCCGTGTCCCCGTGGCGCTGTCCCCGTGGCGCTGTCCCCGTGCCCCCTGTCACTGTCCCTGTCCCACGTCACTGTCCCGTGTCCCCCATCACTGCCCCATCACTGTCCCTTGTCCCTGCCCCGTGTCCCGTGCCCCCCGTCACTGTCCCTGTCCCGCAGCTGGCCCAGAAGTACGACCCCCAGCACGAGCGGGAGCTCCGTGCCTGGATCGAGGGGACCACGGGGCGCCGCATCGGGGACAACTTCATGGACGGGCTCAAGGACGGCGTCATCCTCTGCGAGTACGGCCGGGACCCCCGGGACCCCCCGGGACCCTCCGGGACCCCCGGGAACCCTTGGGACCCCCTCAGGACCCCCTGAGACCCCCGCTGTGTGCCCCCCTCTCCTGCCCCCAGGGCCAGCCCGGGATGATCCTCTGGGAATTTTAACCCTTTCCTCACCTGGGCTGACCGTTGGCTCCTGCTGGTCACAGCCTTGTCCCCGACACTGCTGGGCCTGTCCCACCCCCTCCCCCCCCCACTAAGTCCTGGCTGGATTTTTGGGGTCATCGTGGGGCGACCCCCCCCCCGTGACCTCACCTGTGTGACCTCACCTGGGGTCACCACACCTGTGTGACCCCCCCGTGCCCCCAGGCTCATCAACAAGCTGGAGCCGGGCTCGGTGCCGAAGGTGAACGAACCCGTCCAGAACTGGCACAAGGTGAGTGGGGCAAACCCCAAAAAAACCCAAAAAACCCCAGGGGGCTTTGGGGCAGGATCCCTGAAATTTGGGGAGGGTCTGGGGGGGAGTTCCAACCCCAAACCCAGCCCCAAACTTGACCCTAAACCCAACCCCAAACCCAACCCGACCCCAACCCCGACGCCCCCCAACGCGGCCCCGATTCCCGCGGCGCAGCTGGAGAACATCGGGAACTTCCTGCGCGCCATCACGCGCTACGGGGTGAAGCCCCACGACATCTTCGAGGCCAACGACCTCTTCGAGAACACCAACCACACCCAGGTGCAGTCCACCCTCATCGCCCTCGCCAGCCAGGTCAGCTCCCGGGGGTCCCGGGGGTCCCGGGGGGGCCACGGGGTCGGGCAGAGCCCGGGGGGCCGCGGAGGGTCCTGGTGGAGCCTTGGAGGAGAGCGGGCACATGCTGGGGGGGATTTGGGGAGGGGATTTGGGGTCTCAGGGGGGGATTGGGGGTT